GCGGGGAAGGATTGGGAAGTGAGTGGGCGGGGCTTGTCTCCAGGGGCGGAGCCTCGCGTGGAAGGGGCGGGGCTGGGGCAGCACCAGGAGGACGTTCCGTGGGCGGGGACAGAACTGAGCCACGGGAATGGTTCCTGGGTTATAAAACCTGCCGTGGAGAGACAGGCTCAGGCAGGATGTGGCCAATGCACGGACCCTCGATCCTTCCCCTGAACTGGCCCGCTGGGGTCATCAGCCAGGACTGTCCTCGGCTCCTACCCAGCCCTGGCGGCTGGGCTAGGTCCCCAGGAGAACCCGGGTGCTGCCCTCCTGCCCTGGCCCAGCGGGCATGTGCCACCCGGGGCAGCACCGGTGGCTGTTGCCTTTTGGTTAAGAGCCAGATCTCCCCCCTGGCCCAGCAGCTGCATTTGGCCCTGGCACACCATGGGCACCCTCCGCCCCCTGCTCACAGGGGTCAGGCGCCCCAGTTTTACCAGGCGGCCTCTGGGCTGAAGGGCCCAGCACCAGCCACCCTAGTGCCTGGGCAGGCGGAGGAGCCAGCTGGGAAGGTCACAGCCTGTGCTGCAAACGCTCTGCTGCTCCCGGCCAAGATGCACACGCCCGATAAACCGGCCCCCCCGGCAAGTCGGGGCATGTTGCCTGGCACCCGGCCTTGCCCCCTGCCAAGCGCCCTGCTTGGTGAAGGATGGAAGTGCCAGGCACAGCCCTGCTTGCGGGGGGCTGGCAAGGGGGCGTGTTCACCCCCTATCCGTCCTGCAGTTCTGGGGGTGGCTAGTTACCCATGTTAGGCCCCCAGACAGGGTTGAACTTTTGGTGCTTTTTGTTCATCCAAAATCTTGCTGCTACCCTCCCGCCGCTAACATCGGCCCTAGGAGGGGAGCGGTCTGTCTGTCTGTAACGCTCCGGTCCTCGTATTCCGGCAGCTCGGTTGTCCAGAGGTGTTGCCTGAAAGCTTGGATCTGGGCCGTTCCCGGGCGCCGGAGCCGGGTGCCAAAGGCGCAGATCCCAAAATGAGTCTCTCTTTTTTTTAAAGCACCTCGTCATTTTGGGGCAGAGGGGCTCCGATGGGCTTTTGAACGCCAGCCAATTGTTTGCCACGCCCGCCGTGCGTCCAAAGTCCCTCTCGTGCCCGAGGTGAGGCGCAATTCCATTGTAGCCTTGTGGCCAAACAGAGCAGTGTTTATGGGTGTGCGTTTTGGGTCCATTTCTAATCCAGTTAAATTTGCAGGGTGGCAAGCAAGCGCGGCCGGAGGGGTGGGGCGAAATCAGAGAATGAGTGAATGGCAGACGCCTTCCAGGTTCAAAAAGTGAAAAGCTTTCTAATCGTGAAATCAGACGTTAACAGCACCTGTCGGAATAACAGCCTCCAAAAGCATTTATCTTGCGTTGCCGGGCTGTAAAAGTTGATTCTTATCGCTGGCACTAGGTCTGTTTTGCTTTGTGGGCGTGCACATGATGAAATCGAGGGCTACTGCTATTTAGCAATTAAAACTCTAATCCTGCCACCCACTCTTACGCGCCCACTATTGTAAAAGCGATCTAGTTCAATGGGCCCGAACACCCTGGCTCGTAAGGCGTAGCTGTTAACACTTTGCAAAGCGGCACACAGCCTGGGGTATCCGCGAAAGGTGCCTGCTGTGTTATGTTACGTGGGGGTTGGGCCAATTTTTTGGGAACGGTTTTGTGGGACGAAAAGGATCCCTGCTTTGGTGTGGGAGCCAAAAATGCTGCCCGTTTTGGCCACGCAATACCAAAGGGGTTTCAGCCTCTGAAAAGCCAACCCATAAGAACATAACATAAGAATGGCCGTACTGGGTCAGATCAAAGGTCCTTCTAGCCCAGTAGCCTGTCTGCCGACAGTGGCCAGCACCAGGTGCCCCAGAGAGGGTGGACCGAAGACAATGATCAAGCGATTTGTCTCCTGCCATCCCTCTCCAGCCTCTGACAAACAGAGGCCAGGGACACCATTTCTATCCCCTGGCTAATAGCCTTTTATGGACCTAACCTCCATGAAATTATCTAGCTTCTCTTAAAACTCTGTTATAGTCCTAGCCTTCACAGCCTCCTCTGGCAAGGAGTTCCACAGGTTGACTACACGCTGTGTGAAGAACTTTCTTTTATTAGTTTTAAACCTGCTCCCCATTAACTTCATTTGGTGTCCTCTAGTTCTTCTATTTAGGGAACTAATAAATAACTTTTCTTAACCCATGTCGGCTGGGTTTTAAATGGAAAAGCTGAATGGTTTAGATCAGTGCTTCTCACCCAGTGGTACGAGTCCCCGTAGGGATACTCGAGAGAAGTCTGGGCGGGAACATCAACACAACTGGCATTTGGAGAAAACGGAGTTTTTGTTTTAAGTTGTACAGCGCTTGATTATTTTTGTACTTTTTACACCCAAAAAGGTCATCACCCGCCCAGCTACGATTACACTGTTTAAACAAACGTGTTGTAATTGCAGAAAATAATTTGGTGTTTCTGAAACTGCCGGTACTTATAATTTTTTTTTTGAAGAGGGGTACTTTAAAAAAAAAAAAGGTTGAGAGACTGTTTCGGAGCACACCTTGAATGAGTATAAAAATGAAAAATGTTCGTTTAATCTTTTTTGGGGCAGAGGGGAAAGAATCCCCCAACTTCCTCTCTGCTTCAAAGACCAAAACCACTTGCTTAACCCTAAGCGATTCCTTGCATTCAGAGCTTGCTATTTTCTCTGCACAAGGAAATGAACGCATAAAGTGCTGCTCTTCTGTAATTCGCAGCGCTCTGGGTGGGGTTGCTGAAATTGATTTCCAGTCCTTTCTCCCCCTCCACGAAAAACCCAGGTGTGAGAAGGCCCCTGAGATGGGCGGCAGCGGTCGCTCCAGCCGGCTCCTTTGCCTAGAGGCAAACAGGAGTGGCTGCAAAAGCGACTTAACTTTCTGGATCACACCCAGAAGCAAGCGAGTCCCAGTTCTGATTTGGGTTCAAGGCCGGGCTCGCACGGCATGAGCAAAGCCCACAGGGCAGCGAGGGGCAGCGCCCCCTAGGGTGGAGCAGAGAGGCCAACACCGACAGGCGGCTGACTCAGTTTCCCCAGTCACTTACACGGGCAAACAGCTGGGCATTGCGACTTAACTTTCTGGATCACACCCAGAAGCAAGCGAGTCCCAGTTCTGATTTGGGTTCAAGGCCGGGCTCGCACGGCATGAGCAAAGCCCACAGGGCAGCGAGGGGCAGCGCCCCCTAGGGTGGAGCAGAGAGGCCAACACCGACAGGCGGCTGACTCAGTTTCCCCAGTCACTTACACGGGCAAACAGCTGGGCATTGCAGCCGGGAATGCTCCTCAGCCCTGCCCAG